TGAACTTCGAATTCAAACATTCTGCCCACCACAAGAAAAAATAATTTCATATTTATGATACTTGTTTCTAAATTCACATATTTTTTCTAAAATTTCAGTGATCCATCAATACTGAAACGTTCAACAGTGTAAACGTTCACAATGGATTTCGTTATAGATATACAGAGACCATAGAAGAACGTCCTCTACGCATCGATGAAATCTCGAATCATATTCTTGAAACTGTAAGTACTATATATGATTGCTATAGAATAAAAACAGCGTATGAAAAGGTCGCATTTCAAAGCGAAACACCGTCATACAAAATACAGCAAAAAATGTATGTAAAAACAACCTATGTTGTGCGACCGTATCATACGCTGTATTTATTCTAGAGAATTCATATATATTTTTTTTACGTTGTCAATCTGTCAAATGAATCGGCAAATTCGCATTGTTTTGGCTCATCGCGCCGCAAATTGTAAGTCTTTTTTATTATTTTCATTTATATTTATGATTTTTTTGTGATTTTAAAATTATATTCAGTGTTTTTAATGTCATAATTTTTTTTTCACTAATTTCAGACTTACACCCGATTGCAACATGAAATCGTCTGTAGGAGAACACGGTAGCATTTTGTATGATTTTTTTTCAGGTAAGTTAACAATTTCTATTCTAGTTCTACTTTATTTATGCTGATTTCTTTCATATTTTTCCCTGGGACACCCTAAATTGGACAGACTGTAAAAAACTAATGTGTACCACACTAATTCTGCTTATCCAGATTTTAATTTACCACAGTGCGGAAAATAATTCAGTTTGAAATAAATAAAGTCATTTAATTAATTTATTTTCTTTCATTTATTTGTGTATTTATCAGTAAAAAGAGAACAATATGCCTCCTTAAAAACTGAATCATTTCCCGATTTGAATTTCTATACCAAATAATCTTACCATTAGAAATATTTAGTTCACATGAAGTTTTTCTCAAAGCCAATTAATTCTTAGTAATTTAGTTCGTTTGAAGATTATGTTTTACTTTTGATTTTTCCGCACACCTAGGTATCAGTTAAAATTCGAACTCGAAAACATGAAAAAATGATACAACATTTTAAATCTGTCATCGAAGACAACTTATATCTTTGAAAATTAATTTGCTTAAATCCAGACTACAGAAAGACGAATCGAGATGGTAGAACATTTTTTGTCATGTTTTGATTTCACATTTGATTGTCTTTTTTGTACCTAATTTCAAATTTTCAGAAAAAACTTAAAATATTAAAAAAAAAAACTTAAATTATTTTCAAATTGTAAATCAATGGCTTTTCAAAGTGAATTTGGAGTTGTTGCTAGATATTTTTAGATTCGTTGATTTTGATATATGCGTTGATTGGATGCACTTATATCGATACGAATCGTGTTGAAGTTTCCGTTTTCTTGCCATGTTCATTTACTACATATAGCAGTTTATTCAATGATTTAAAGTTCATTTTTAGTCGTTATACAGACTACTGAAGCCAACAAACACACATTTCATCCAATGCTGCCAGTCGATCCTTGCCTGGGTTATCAATGAGACACGATGAAAGACAATGTGATCTGTTGAGACAAAAAAACGAAATATAAATGAAATTGTTTCAAAAATATCTGAAAATGTACTTTTAAAAATATTTGTAGAGCTTTGAACAATTAAATGAAATTATCTTTACTCACCGATAAGTCAAGCTTTTTGTTGATCATGGGCTCATTGTCAAATTAGCACTTAAATGCGATGAACTGAACTGAATTCGAATGCTTTCCACGTCTATTTGTCATTTCGACACTGAAATGGGAACATGTCATTTGGTGTCATGGGTCCGTTGTATACATTTTACATAAAGTAATTTTGGAATTTTTCTTTTTGGTTCCGAAGAATTTGGCCTTATAAATTCAACCTTCCAACGATCCATTCCTAAGTCGTACCACATTTGCATGTAGAATACGATGAAGGAAATGTAATCTGTGAAGAAATAAAATAGAAACAAAATTGGTTTAGAAATCATCGAATGGGAGAATTTGTGAATTACTGTGTTTAGTTCAAATGCTTTTGAATTTACTTACCGATGCATATCGGCCATTGGATCTCCCACGGACTCGAAGAAGTGGTGGCATTTCAAATGTGCAGTTGTTTGTTTGGCGTCATTCATGATATCGTAACTTGAAGCAGTTTGAAGAGCGAATGTGATGATTGGAATGATTTATTGCCCATTTTATCGCAGCGTTTCTATTGGAAGCAAATGTGTGTGTTTGTCGCTGTGTGATTTTTTGTATGCTGAATTCTTCAACCAGTTGAATTTCTCCACGGTAAATTGATAGCGACAACGATATTATCACTTTGAAAAGCAGACTGATTTTGTTTTTTTTTTTCGCTTAAAATTATTACAGTTTTTCTAAATTCAACTAAAATGTTTACATATTTTTCTTAAATTTATTAAATTTTTGATTTTTATTTCATTTTTCTAACTAGTAAAGTATTAGAGTAATGACTATCAAA